CTTGAGCTGAAGATGATCGGCTCAATTATAAGCTACCTCAAAAGACTAAGCGCAAACAATTATATAAATGTTGGATACTGAAACAGTTCAGGGCGACTCGGGTGGCCTAGTCATGTGCCCAAAGAAGAGAAAACTTGTTGTGCCCTATGTTTTTGTATATTTCCTGGTTGGGCTAGACATGTTCCATAAGTTTGGGTGGTCTAGCCTTATGCCCTATGTAAGCTGGGTATAAGGGGATAAATCATTGAAAGACTATGAACTATTGTTTGCTAAATTGACTTGGGGATGGTGAAAACACTTACCTTTGCGGGTTGGCCTGCATGTGATTGAGTGATGTCACTACTTAGTCTGAATTTTCAGTTGATAGGTAGTTGTTTTAGTTGCTCGCCACGTGCTAGAGTTATAGGAGTTAGTTTCAATTCCTGCATGTTCTGAGCTGATATTTTTTTTTACTTAGATCAATTTCTGCATTTTCTGGGATCTTTTATCTATACTTGGTCTAGTATAAATCTTGGTAAGCCACTTTCTCTACGGGAAGCGCTGCCGAAATTTCTGCAAAACCAAGGAGTTAGTCAAAACTTTGTCTTCTTCAGGATCCGGTCTTGTTGGTTTTTTTACTTAGTAAGAATCTGCGAAGTCTCATTTTCTAAAGAAAGTGCTGCCCAAATTTTTACTAATTCAGGGAGTTAGACAAAATTGGGCATTGAAAGGTCAAAGTCATTTCAGATCCTAAATTTAGCTTTGTATAAATCTTGGAATAACACTTTCTCTACGGGAAACGCTGCTGAAATTTCTACAAATCTAAGGAGTTGGTTAAAATTATATCTTAACGGAACTCAGACTTTATATTTGAGTTAATATCTGACCTTGTATGAATCTGGAAAGTCTTCCCTTATAAAGGAAGTGCAGTCCAAATTTTTACTAAATCAGGGAGTTAGACAAATTTCGACTTTCTAAAAATCCAAAGGTTTGATTTTTGGGTTAGTATAAATTCTGCAATGACACTTTTCCTACGGGAAGCGCTGCCGAAATTTTTTGAGTTTAGATGAGTTAGATTATATTTGTCAGGTGGCAATACTGGGAGATCCACTCCGTGTAGGGGATATTATGTCAAGGCCTACCTTTGCTTTGACACCTGCTTAGAGGTAGGTTTAGGCCTACTTAGTTAGGGTGATTTGGGAAACTTAGCTTGGGGATTGACCTGTCTTGTGTTACAATTTTTCTTGACCGAATCGATTCTGGATTTTGGGCTAGAGTCAATTTTGATCCCACAAGGATCACCTTCTCTTATCACTGATAACAGGTCGGTTGCCGATTCGTTGGTTTACGACTCAACTCCAATTTACCCTCAATACTCAACCTAAAGAGACTTTAACCCTAGTGATTTTTATTGTTTTGTTAAGGTTTCACCCAAGCTTTTATTCAATGGTCATTTGACAAAGGTAATGAGTATTTAATTATGATTGGTTGGCTGGAGGTTGGGGCTTGCATGGCTAAAAATACGGGTATGAGTACAGACAGCGGTTAGGGTTGACTTCCTGTAGTGCGCGGACTTTGTTGGACTTTTGATGTGATTGCATGTATGTTTTGTGGTTCGGATTTTGGATTTGACTCCCTGCGATCACACATATACATATGGTTGTGAGGAGTCCCACTGTGATTGTGAGAAGTGATCGTCACATACTTATCCCCTTGGATATATATATATATATATATATATATATATATATATATATATATATATATATATATATATATATATATATACCTATGTTGGGAGTTCGCATGGCCCGATGGGCCAGCGTATTAAGGGTTAAATAGGGGTTGAGGTAGGCAGAGAACCCCCTTCTCTTGAATATATACTCCTTCTGAGTTCTTAGTCGGACGTTGGTCCTGGGTCGGGATTCGAGGTCCTTGTCCAGGACATCCCAAGCCCTAGGCTCTGCATAGAAGGAATTTTCCCCCGCACAGAGCCTATTTGCCTCGCCTGTCGAGACACTTAAGCCGAAGGCCTGAGGTCTCGAGGCGGTCGCACGGCTATTCCTTCAGCCGTGCAATATCGTGAGAGAGTAGACCCTCACGATACTTCGAGTCTGACACATGAGTGTCATAAGCGGTACTCGGATCCACGAGGGACTGCTTGATTATAGGCACTACATAGTACGTCATCATTGCGACTGCGTGCGTATACTTGCATTGCGAGTCCGCGTGGTTTTATGCTGAGTCTCGCGCGCAACGCCTATCCGGTTTCCGCATCGAAAAGTTATGGGATAGCTACCGAGGGACTAGGATGTCTCGTTGTTTGTGTTGTGTCATTTCGTGCGTATGTTATGTGTGTGTTTTACTTTTATGTTCTTTATAAGCGGTGTGCGCATGGCGTGTGGGATGCGTCCTAGTCGACCGGCGACGAGTCGCGCTTGGGATCTCAGCCCCCCAAGATGTCGGTTCACGTGCGGGTCCGATAGAGGCGTAGTACCGCGCGTACCCCCTATGCTACAGCGAACGAGAAACGCCATCGGCTGGTCCACCTCCGCGATTGCAGCTGATCAACTTTCATATTGTGGACTGGTAGCTCGGCGGGGATACACCCACCGAAGGGAGGTAACAACTCCCGTAAGGTGGAGGTAAGTCGTGCCTCGCGTAGGCCCTATCCTATCGTAGGGGTTCGCGAGAGGTATGGCTGCTCACTCGGCCGGAGCAGCTTGCGGAAGCTCCATGTATATTCGCGACGAGGATTAACTATGACTCCTGCGTGACACGACCGGGAGGGTCTCACGCTGCCCTTGAGTGGTGCCGGACCAATGCGCTCGACAGGTGGCGCCGTTGCCGGCGATAACGGATTGTCTGCCGTTGTCCCTGGTGGAACGACATCCTGGTATTAGAGTAAGGAGAAGTCATACACGAATGAGATAATCTGAGTAAACCTATAGGTAAGGATGTATGAGGTTTGTATGGGTATGTGGATGACTAAGATGATTATGTGAGAAGATTCATGACGGGAATAGACTTTATGGAAGTAAGTCTGGGAATGAAAAGAATAGCAGTGTCAGCTAAGTCTAAAGTGTCTAGGGGCTACGTGGTTAGTTCGATAGGACTGTGATAAATTAAGATGTTGAGTGAAGTTTGGTTCGTACCTCTTCTTGTAACAGGAAAGTTAAGCGAAAGACAGACGGCCAGAATGTCGGGAGGTATAGGTGACAGTTCGGGAAAAGCCTTGGCCCTCGATGATTTCATCGAGGCATTGGACAGACGAGAAAGGATGCCAAGCAATGTCCCAAAAGTCGAGACATTCCACTTCAAAGGAGAACGGGTGTCCGACTGGTTGGACTTTGTGGACCAAGCGCTGGTGGGGTCAACAGATACAATAAAGTTACAGCGGATCATGAAATACGTACTTCATGGGCACCATCAGGAGGTGCAGAAAGTGGTCGACGATGCCAATGGTAATTGGGTCAGGTTTAGAGAAGGAATGCAAATGAAGCACAGGTTGGGTGACGGTCTGCTAACCACGGCGGATTTGGAGGTCATGAACAAGGATGATTTTACCACTATCGGGGCATTCGTGCAGGAATTTAAGAAAAGGGCAAGGAAAGTGCATGGAATGTCAGAGGAGGCCCAATAGGCTACCTTCCTGGGGTTGCTCACCGCATTGGAAGCATCCGAGCTGACGAGCCATGAGGGAGGAAGCGCGAAGCTCACCTGGGCTACCATCGACAAGGGGGTGGAGGATGGAAGCCTAAACCAAGTGGAGCAGCACCAGGTACGGTTACAAAGGCAAAAAAGAAAGGAAAGGGACGCCACGGCGTCCGGAACCCCAGGAGTGAAAAAGATTGTCACCGACGTACTAGCAGAACTAAACGTGGTGATACAAAGGAAGGTGGTGACGGCAGTCCAAAGGAAGGCAAAGGAGGTTGTGATAAAGGAAGTTGTACAAGAAGGATGAGAGGAAAAGCAGTCAGTACCCCAACACCTCTCGAAGATGCAGCGTAAGCAGCGCAACCTGACGCAGGGAGGTCAAGGCTAAGGAAAAGGGCAGGGGCCCCAAGCAGTGGTAGCCGCGCCCCCGAGTGTGGCGACCCCTTCAAGTAGTGCGAGTCCTTCACAGGCCTCGGTACCGCCATTTGGGCAGTGGTCATGACCCATAATCAATACATATGTGCCTTGGGGAAGCCCAACCCAACCTGGACAGGTAGTGTCGTACGCTGGGCCCCAAACAAGTATCCCACCGCCCAGGCTCAACCCATGACACCACCTCCATCGCCTGCACAAAGTTTACAGGGTAGTGTGGCGAGTGGAGGAAATCAAGGCCAAGGGAATCCAGGAAATGGAGGGAGAGGCGGTGGAAGAGGACGCGGCAGGAATGGCGGTGGCCGAGGAGGTCAATGAGATAACTAAGGTTACCAGGGCCAGGGGAATCAAGGGGGCCAAGGTAATCAAGGGAACCAAGGGGGCGAAAGGACCCGCTTTGATTGGAGGACCGCCATATGTCAGCACTCCGACAAGCAAGTTCACACTTTACGGTTCTGCAACACAAGGCAGGAAGACGAGAGAGTGGGACTGATCTACTCTAACATGGATGGAGACATATATGATCAGTTCGGAGAATACATCAACAGAAAGGTCCCTGGCGGAATAAGGGCGGAGGCCCAGCGGAGAGTGGCGGCACGACAAGCGCCTCCTGCCGCATTCCGGTTATGGCAGGAAAAAGAGGACCCTTCCCTTAGAGTAGAAGAGGTGGGAAGTGATGAGGAAGTGACCCAGAGGCTACGAGCGGGGGTTATAAGGGAAAAGCCCATAATCATCGAGTCAGAGGACGAGAGTGAGGAGGAAAGGGTAGAACCCGCATCGGTCCTGCTGGGGAAGATGGAAGATCTGCTGGATAAGGTGGGGATACCAACGGAAGTTGGTAGGTTTCTGTGAAGAAATGAAAGAATGGAGGGCGAACCTCCCCAAGGTCTTCCTCTATATTCTGGCCCAGAATCCATGCCAGGACGGCCTGGGGTGACGACCGTAGGGTCAGGCCCTCGGTCAGGAATGATGACTAGGCCTCCTACGCCGCAAGGAAGGCTAGCGCGGGCGGCCCGTACTCGAGGTCAGGCTAAGGCCAGTGCGAGTCAAGAGCCACCCCGAAAGGAACCTGAGCCAGGGAAGAGGAAGGAGACGGTGGAGGTGGAGGATAATAACGAAGATGAAGAGGAGGATGCGAGGTTGTGCCAGGAAGAATATCAAAAGGCGGAACAAAGAGTCAGGAAGAGAGAAAGCCGAGAGGAAACGGAACCAGTTCTACGCGATGTACCGCCCAAGAAAAAGAAGTATGCAATCCGGTTAGAGGAAGGGTTCGACGTGGAGAGGGTGATCGACAGGCTGCTTGAAGGCCATAATGACCTTATGACCCTCAAGGAGATCATGACGTCCGCCCCAAGGCTCCGCAATGAGCTGAAGGGTAGACTTTCGAGGCAGTTGGTGTCAAATGTCCACCTCAGTGTGATTCTGCCAAAGGAGATGGAATGGGCAGAACCAAGAACAAAGATGGACTGGAAGTGTGTGGCCTGCGGTACGGTGGACCTAGTAGTAATGGGTTCTAAGTGCGCTGCAATGGTAGATACAGGGGCCGAAATGAATGTTATCCGAGAAGCTGACGCTATCAGGTTTGCGCTGGCAATAGACCGCTCGGATTGCGGCATTCTGCATGGGGCCAATAACAAGGCCGTGTTTTGCGGGACCGCCTCGAACGTACTGCTGGAGATTGGAAGGGTAAAGGTCAGGGTGTGCTTCTTTGTAATGCCAGACGTGGATCATGGCATTCTCCTAGGGAGATCCTTTCTGTGCAGGACAGAGACCCTAATGTACAACAAGCATGACGGATCGCTTATCCTGATCTTATGTGATCCAGCATGTCGAAATTATGAGGTCATTCCTTGCCGAAACACTGGGCCGAGAAGCACAAGGAACAGACCCAATCCTGACTCTTTCACCATTGAGGAGTCAGAGGATGAGCATCGAAGGCTTATGGCGGAGCCCGAGGAAGAAATAGGAGGAGAAGCATTCTCGCTCAGCTTATCTGATGTAAATAAGGCCATGGACATAGTGGCCACTCATGAAATGGCGGATCCAGACGCCATTCAGGCGCTGAGGGAACAAGTCATGGAGTATCCCCAGGTAGGAGATACGGTTTATCGGCTTCCAAAGGGGGGAAGGGATCCTGCTATGGCATAGGCGTAGGCGCGAGCAGCAAGTCATCATTTTTTAGGGGACGGCTCAAGCAAGGGTCCCAAAGGCGGTACAAGACGATAGATAAAAAGTGCTGCCCAGTTTCCGTTCTTGTTACCGAGGATAAGGAGGTATACTATGAACGGGAGCGAGCTCTAATACGGCAGATGAAAGAGAGCACATTGGTGGGGCCATGCCGTATCAGCGAGGAGAACGAGGGGAAGCTGATAGTGGGAGAGTCCGACTTCCTACTACCTCGAGAGAGGACGCTAATGATAGAGCTGATGAAGAAAAGGCATCACGCCTATGCTTTTAGCGATGAGGAGCGTGGCAGGTTGGATGTAGACAAGATCTCTATGATCCGCATCTACACCGTGCCACATGAGCCGTGAAACTTAAGAGGGGCGCGATATCCTAATCCTGACGAAGAGAAGAAGGTGGTGGATTACCTCGATGGCAAGATACGCACGCACGTCGTTGATTATTCAAGTAGACCCTACGCGTCCCCGTGGTTTTGTTTCATCAAACCTAATGGGACGTTGAGATGGGTGCAGGACTTGCAGAGGCTGAATGATGTGACTGTGCGGGATGCAGGAGGCTTGCCGAATGCAGATGCGCCGTCAGAGTCATGTGTTGAAAGGCCAATAATCTCGCTTATTAACCTCTATTCCGGATACGACTAGTTTCCAGTCTACCCGCCAGACAGACCGGTAACAGCGATGCATACGCCTCGAGGGCTTATCCACATGAATGTGGCTCCGCAAGGGTGGACAAACGTTGTGGCAATGGTCCAGAGACATATGATTCGGGTCATGCAAACCGTTAGTCCACATATTACGCAGCCATATATCGACGACTTGGCAGTGAAAGGGTCGAGGAGAAGAGAGGACGATGAGGTTTTGCCAGGAGTAAGGCGTTTTGTCCGGAAACATGTCCAGGACCTTGACAAAGTCATAGGCTTGCTTGAAGAGCATAACCTTACGGCTAGTGGAACTAAGTTCAAGCATTGCATGAGGGAAGCTACCATTTTGGGATTCGTCTGTAATGAGAGTGGCCGGCGGCCAGACGTTAAGAAGACGGACAAGATAGTTGAGTGACCAGTACCATTCCACTCAATAACAGATGTTAGGAGCTTCCTTGGCACGTGTGGCTTCTGGAGGACATTCGTCAAAAACTTTGCTGCCAAGACAGAGCAATTGAGGAAGTTAGTTCGTCAGGATCAGGAGTGGATTTGGGGTGAGGATCAAGAGAAGGTGGGATGAAGGAAGAGTTTCGAGAAGGAGGATTGGTGTTGGGGGCGCCGAACTACAATGCCACGGAAGTGAGACCATTCATTGTCGAGACTGATGCTGGACCAACTGCTTTGGGAGGAGTTTTAATTCAGGCAGACATTGAGGGAAAGGAGAGACCATTACGTTTTGAGAGTCGGACTTTGTGTACGACAGAGAGGAACTACTTTCCATTCAAGAGGGAGACTCTCGTTGTCCTTCACTGCCTGCGGATCTTCCGAAACTATATCTTTGGCAGGAGGTTCATACTAAGGGTGGACCCAACAGCTTCTCCCTAAGGAACTATGTTCCGATCGACCCAACGGTTGCCAGGTGGTTGACATACATCTGGATGTTCAACTTTGAGTTGGAGCGAATTCCGGGGAGCAAGAATAGAGCGGATGGGTTGAGCCCATCAACTGGGATAAGCAGGAAGGGGAGGCAATAGAGGATACGCCCCCAGTTGATGGTTTTTTGGACCAGGAAGAAGACATCCGCCTTCACATCAATAAGTGGTCTCCGCGCGTGTCTGATTATGCATGAACTGCTCGAACGCGGGGACGAACCCCTCTGCATTCCCAATCTAGAAGTGAATAGGTCTACCATTATGTCCAACAGGTGATGGTCGTAGCTCCTGCATCCTTGTCTCCACCTTTGGCTTCGTCCTCGCCTCCCCACGGATCTGTGCGATGGGCTCTGCGAATTTGCCAACTCTCCTCAACCTCTCTATTGCCTGGGTCATGGTCCAGCCCATATGATCAGCATACCCCCAGAAATCTTCCAGGAACAACTCAATATCCCCAGCATCTTGCACTGGTGTGCTCTCTCGGTGGTAAGGCCCATGCCGCTCGTATCCTCCTGATGCTCCCAACGGCCTCCGTGGCGGCCGTGTCCCCCTCCCTCCTCTTGGCATGGTTGTCTTCGCAAAGTCAGACCTGCACAACAGGCGAAGGAGACAACAGGCACACGTTGGGGTAAGCAAACATGCGATAAGTAAGCAAGTTTAGGTCAAACCAAGCACATACATCATACAATCTTTCTAACCTACACACCTCTCTATCCCACTCTAGGGGAATTAGATAGTCTATCTCACCTCTTCTCTCGCCACGAACTTCTTCAACCTCGTTCCTGACACCCAGTCCTTCCACTCTGTCTCATTTAACTCCTCAATCTGGTACGCGCCGAAATCTCCGCATCGCACAATCTGATAAGGACCTAACCACCTCTTGTCCAGCTTTCTAGACCACTGTTTTTCCAAGGATGAATCATATAGGAGTACGATGTCCCCAACTTCCAAAGGTACTTTCCTTACTCAAGCCGACTGGTCCCAGCGAACCTTATCGTCCATCCGACTCCTCTCTACTTGGTTGGATGCTTCTTAGATCCTTTTCTCAATCGCACCCACTTGTCGGGCTCAAATGTCGAGCAACTCTTCGAAAGACAGGTTGACCTCCAAATCCTGACGCCTCCAAGTCTTTAGGAAACTCTCGATTGGGAAGGTAGCGTGTCTCTCATACATAATGTAGCCGGTGCGTACTTAGTGGTCCTTCTTACCGTAATATTCTCGACAAAGAACGTTGCCCTCAGATACCGTGGCCACTGATTGGGCCTACCTTCAATCCATTTGGCCAATAGGTTCCTAATGGTGTTGTGCCCTCTTTCTACTGGAGCATTTGCCTGAGGGTGCGCGGTCGTGATGTAATTCGCTACTACACCATACCTTGATAACAACTCTTGCACCTCCTGACAGGTAAACTCCGATCCTCTATCCATTACGAATTCTCTGACAAAAGGATAGCGTAGGTAGTACTCCTCGATGCAGCTAACCAGGACTGTCCCAGTCTTCGTACGATTAGCCCGTCCATCTACAAAGCCAGATAGGTTGTCGCGTGCATCGAAGATGTAATTGTAGCCATGATCTCCGTGTGGCATGAATAATAAGTCGAGGTGTACAACGGCCCCTACTTCCCTCTCCAACCTTGGGTGCAGTGGCTCTCCCAGCCTTAGACGACGAGACTGTTTTTGGCAAGGTACGCAGGACCGGCAAAATTTATCAACCAGCTCCATCATCCCGTCCCAATAATATAGCTCACTTATCTTGGCATACGTGACAGTAATTCATCGATGCCCTCCCACAATGTCGTCATGAAGTGCAGGTATAACGTCAATTTGTCGGTTTCTGCCACATACGACTCTCCTAGGGTTTCCCACTTGCCTTTTTACAAAGAGGTGACCATCCCTTACCAAGTAACGTTCCCTCATTCTCTGGGCCCTATCGCTTGCATCCCTATCCCGCATCTCGCACGATAGGAGAAGTCCCAGCTCTAGGTAAATTCCATCATACTCTTCTGCCCGGAACGCTTCCTTGATCTCCCCCTCTTCGAACTCGTCATCCTGACTTTCTAGTATAGCATCTCCTTCCTCAGTCGGATTCAACGAGCCTTCCAAGTTAAAGGATTCCTGCAGAAGTGTATTGACGAGGAGGTACATTCCCCCCATCAATTCCTCAAGCCTCTTTACCCGATCTGGACCTTCCTCTATCGTCCTTACCTCTTCCATCAGACTGTGATTGCCTGCGAATGCCAGCTTCATCATCAATTGGACGTCCTTGCCGCCTCAAGGGTCCTCTTCCTCAAAAGGTTTGAGCACTAATTCAACCTTTCGTTCATACCCCTTCGGTGCGTGCCAAATGGGATGACCAACACCACAACATCCTTTAGGTAGGGTCATCTGGTTATAGGTCTCTGTCGACCGCATACCTCCTCGACTTTGTCAAAAGCAAAACACTGCCAGTTACTATCGTTACCCTCGGACGCCACAAGCGTCTGGACTAAAACTCAAAAATTCTTAGTCTCTCAGTCATGGTTTAGATTTGAATATAGTTTCGGCAGATAACTTATCTCATCAAGTTATGAAGCACGGATAACCCTTTACTAAGTCAGACATCGTCCGACATTTAAAAACACCGGGCAGATTTGTTAGGGTTTCTACCCCGACAGCATTCCCGAGCCCCAATGAACGACGACCCCGTCGTTCATCATCAAAAATACAAAGTCAGAATTCTTATGAAATTTTCATGTAGAAACAACAATTATAATACACAGGAATCCAACATTTGTCCGGAACAAAGTCGAAGCTTTTACCACCAACAACAGAAAAATTATAACGTTTTTTCTGACAGGATTATCATATGTAGACCCCATTTATAAACCGTTGGAAGTGTGTTGATAAATTATTTGTCGATAGGGGTGTCATGTGGTCCACCAGAAGTGAAGGAATTCAATGTTGATCAAAGATGTCGCAAACAAATTATGTTGTGCTCAACTATTGATCCATTTGTTGAAAACATGTTGAAACGTTGTTGGAAGTGTGTTCACCAATTGTTGAACATTGCACTTTTTGTTGGGAAAAAAATTCACATTTTGTCGCTCGGGTCATACAGTGGTGTGGTTTTTTCCCATGTTAGTACATCCACTTTGTCTGTTACTAAAGAGAATGCAAAAAAAACAGCGTACATCATTATGGCCGGATGAGGATCTGGTTAGTCTTTGTCATTGAGCAGGTCACGAAATATAGAGTCGTTGTGCGTGTGCGAAAGCATGATAGACACCGGATATTGACACACAAATCATGACCTGCGGAAGGAGGGAGGCAACGACGCAGTGCATGAATTACAGAATCTACGGAAAGTCGTCTCTATCCGCAGCTGCACCGCGATACACTATGGTTTCATATTTCCCAATCTTTGATTTTTCGCCTATCCTTGACAGCTAATAATACACACCGAATTTTGTAGGTTCGGTTTTGATGATGTTGTCGAAAAACATTGGGGGGG